TTTTTTTTACTGGTTTTCCCCCCCAAACCCCCCCGGGGGGTACGCGGGGGGCCGGGGGGGGGGGGTAAACCCCCCCCCCCCCCCCCCCCCCCATAATCGAAATCTGTTCTTTTTTCACAAAATTCACAATTTACTACGCTATTATTTTTTCGTTCCTATACACTGATCACCACAAAACATTTTATCGACCCGCCCAGTTTTAGAGGCCTCGCGCTAGCCCTACGAAAACCACGTTTCTTTTTATTTTTTCTGCAGAAACGATCCCGGCAAGAACGTTTCATGAATATAAACATATTCTTTTAAGTCATTTCACATGAGCAAAAACACGGCGGAAGAAGACATCCGTAATTTAACAAACACTTGGAACGCAGGCACTGCAAAAATGAATCGTAATTCACCCAATCTAACCGATGAAACAAATTAATCCACGGAGATACAGTTTGTTTGACTGCAGATGAAATAAAACAATAAGTTTTTTCCCGGATCAAAACTGTAGAACACGTTAAACGGGGTTCCTCCTGCATTTTTTATACGAATTTTTGTGAACGGGATCAAGTATTTTTCTCGATTCTTTTTAGATTTTATCTAATTAAAAATGTTTCCTTTTCAAAATGATTGCTTTCTCTTTCAAATTCTTGTCCAAATAGATTATACCAAATGTAGAGCTAGGCTTACACTTCGTTTCACCTTTGAATATCATTTCACACATATTACAAAAAGTAAAGTAGTATGCATATACTGTGACTCATTTCTACTTAAAATAAAAAATGCGCATAATGTCCCTATTGTATATATTAACTCTGGAGAAAGTTAATGAAGCGTATAATTTATTCAAATGTTTAGTGGTGGATAACACAAAGGCGTGTTACAGCATAGTTTTTCTTTGTTTACTTTGTGTTTTACTTTAATTTAAGAAAAATATAAGATAGAACAACTTATTATTTTTGAATTTGCGCCAAAAAAAAACGAAATGTAATTGACTAATGTTTTATCTACGTTATAAATTAACATGAAGATTATTTGTTCTTGATTACAGTTGAAACAAATTTTCATTGTTTCGTGATATCCTGAACAGAATTTTATGCTTCTCTGATGAGTAGATGATTTATCTAACAGAAAACATCAGTAAAATACTGACTTAGATGTATAATTTAAAATCAGATAACAAAGGAATAACGAACGTAAAAGAATAAATATTCTTAAAGATGTGAGTGAATAGATTGCAGAATAGAGTCTGAAACGTTGAATCGAATGATTTGGCATCCGATTTAGCTGTGTGTCGAATCGAATTTGATTTTTATGAACAAACTAATTTAATTCACATTTAATCACATAAAGATGCCAGAAATTGAATATAACTAAAAAAGAAGTTGCAATCATGAGATCTCAATTTTACATGTTAAAATTGATTTACAGCTCTGTTTATTCAAATAATTTCAAGTTGCTTACAACAAATTTCTATTGATCTTATTTAATGCTTTCGGTCAATCAGTAGAATTTGTTCATTAATAAACGCGCTCAACGTTATATCGAACCAAAAGGTCAAACGAACGTTTTAAAAAAAGAAACATGTAGATATTTCTTTTTCGCGCTAATAGAACGAAATGGTATTAAACAGAAGGTTACAAAAAAAATTTGTATTATTCTTAGTCATCGTTAGTTTGCCCATAGATACATTTTCTTTTTTCTCTTCTATTTCTTAATTTAAGTTTTTTTCTCTATTAAGCATTTATCTTTGTATATAGTATAGTCACACCATTTTAGAACATATATAACCGCTAGATTTTTTATTTATCACTCTACTTACAAAAAACGACAAATATAAGTCATTCTTAACAAAAAATAATCGAAGGTAATGTAATACCGTTATTCTTTTACATATTGTATTTGATCTGTATAAAAAACAAATAAAATCTTTGAACTAATCTCAACATCTTTCTAAGCGTTATTTAACTTTGGCAAAAACACTATGTAATTGTTTTGCTAATCGTTCAAATAATTCTTTAACTTATTTATCAATATTTGAGATTGATCGAACGGTAGATTATTTTCTGTACGAAGATAGAAAAAATTTATTTGTTATCGTTTATTCGATTTCAAAAGTTAGATTTCTATTATGATTTTTGCAACTACAAATAATCTAATTTGTCTTGTCTACGATGTTTTCTGAACATATTGCAACTAATTTAATTTTGTACATTGTTCTTACCAAGTGTCTTCATTACTAGCTCATTTTTTTCATCGTTTGATTTAATCGTCTATTATCATCCATATCATGGGCGAAATGCTTGGAAACATTTTACTATCAATTCTTGCCATCTTGTTGCCTCCTGTTGCAGCTCTTATCAAAGTTGGTTGTACAACACAGTTTTGGATAAATCTAATTTTAACATTATTGGGATATGTAAGTTATCAGTTTTTCTCGTAATTGTAGTTTGCTGTTGTGAACGTTATTTCATTTTGTCCCTCTTTTAACAATTTACATGATTTTTTTTTTTAATATTTTAGCTTCCCGGTATTATACATGCGTTGTGGTTGGTAAGTGATACATCGGACAAGAAGAGACTATTTTCTAAATGTGTTTTTATGCAATTTTTTGTTTTTTTTAGATATGGAGTGGACCTGTTTCAGTATAGTGGAATCAAATGAAAATGAATGACTTGACTCTTCATTCTTCATTTTTGATGTTATTGTTTTTCTTTTTTTTCTCTGTCGATTATTGGTTCCCTATGTATTTATGACTCTACACATTTTTTCACAAGAGAAAATGCTGTTACATGATTCTTGCTTATTCTGATATGTTATTAATGGACCATTCTTTTCTGGTATCCTA